AAACCAGCCGCAACTCATCTTGTAGCTATAAAATAAAAAAATAACGGTACATGTGTTTTTGGCGGCAAGTTAACAATCTATCTTTTACTCGAAAATTTATCTTTAAAAGTATAAATGAATAGAAGGTCGATTTTTTGGTAGAAAATAGATTGTTAACTTGCCGCCAAAAACACATATATCGTTATTTTTTTATTTTATAGCTACATAATAAGTTGCGGCTGGTTTATAACTGACTAAATGGCTCTTAGCCCTTATGCTCGGTTTCAGAATTTTAGAGGCCACTTTTGGCGAAAAAATGAAAACCGCTAGATGGCGCTGATCAAAATAATTATTACAACTCACAATAGAGACATATAATAAACCAGCCGCAACTAATTTGATGAATAGAAAATAATAAGTTAACATTTTCTGTGCTATTTGCGGCAAGTTTACAATCTATCTTTTATCCATATAAAATCGACCATATTTACAAAACTACAATAATATTTTAGACCTTTTAACATTAACTCATGGAAGCATAGCCTTTCAACTTTATAGTTCGAATAAACAGTTAACTTATATTATATGTAAATAGCAACATTTAGCTATGTTAATCAATATAAATTAGCTAGAACATGACAAATTGCTTTACTTTCTTGTATGCTTTATTCCTCCCTTTTTTGCATGTGTATTTGAATATTATCCAACTTAAACCTTATCAGTATCTTGGTATTTTATTAACAAACGGTATATTATTTAATTGCAAAATTAGGTTATCCTACAGAAGATCGTTAGCTTAAAAGAAGTCAAACAATGTCAACATTTTTTTGTTGTTTTAACACGATTGTATTTGTTATTTAGCTGTTTAGAGAATCACAGCAAGCGTATACAATAAATTTATCTGTTAATAGATTGCCGAAGTAGCATATACTAAACAAACGTGAATTATTTGCTAATATTACACGTGTATCAAAATAAAATAGTTAGTTTGACATACTAATAAAGTATCATTTCAGAGATTTCTATTTTTATATTTTCTCCATTTATTGGAAAAGTTGTTGCTAAGTATCTGTGATTGTTGGTAAAAAAGGTACTTGGTGCATATTTAATTTTTAATGTTTTTTGTACATCGATATTATACAATCGAGTATACAATAGTCCGTCAACAGCAAGAAATATTGAAAATAACTTTATTTTTATTATTCTACTTAAATGTTGTCAATGCTTAAAAAGTTAAAGGTAAAAGGTCTAAAATATTGTAGTTTTGTAACTATGGTCGATTTCATAAGCCATGTAAAATAAGTAGAATATTTATGATTTTGGAGATTAATTTTTGGGAAGTAAGTAATTTGTAAACTTGCCGCAAATAACGCAGAAGATGTTGTCTTATTATTTTCTATATATCAAATTAGTTGCGGCTGGTTTATTATATGGCTTTATTGTAAGTTGTAATAATTACTTTGATCAGCGCCATCTAGCGGTTCTCATTTTTTCGCCAAAAGTGGCCTCTAAAATTCTGAAACCGAGCATAAGGGCTTAGAGCCATTTAGTCAATTATAAACCAGCCGCAACTTATCTTGTAGCTATAAAATGAAAAAATAACGATACATGTGTTTTTGGCGGCAAGTTAACAATCTATTTTTTACAAAAAAATCAACCTTCTATGTATTTATACTTTTAAAGATAAATTTTCGAGTAAAAGATAAATTGTTAACTTGCCGCCAAAAACACACGTATCGTTATTTTTTTATTTTATACCTACACAATGAGTTGCGGCTGGTTTATAATTGACTAAATGGCTCTAAGCGCTAAAGCTCGGTTTCAAAAGTTTAGGGCCACTTTTTAGTTCAAAAATCCGCAACGCTAGATGGCGCTGATCCAAATAACTATTACTATACATACTTACCGTAGAGACTTTTTGTTAACTATAAACTAGCCGCAACTGATCTTGTAGATAGATAATAATAAGTTGACGTATTTTGTGCTATTTGCGGCAAGTTAACAATGTATTATTAACACAAAACGTGACCTCTCGAAGTATACATGTCGTATCCTATTTATTTTACATGGCCTATAAAATCGACCACATGGCTCTACTTGCGGTAGTGATTACTATAATTACTACACATAACTTTACGTGTATCTTACATGCACCGTGCTTTCATAAGGCCTATTCTGCAAAATTCTGCAAATTCTTGCACAGCCTTTTAACTTTCCAGTTCCAATAAACATGTTTATAATCTATCTTTTACCCAAAAGTCGACTCCCTACACGACAGTCAACAGCGATGAAATCTTCACTTTTGTCTCGACTTTCACGTGGGGTCATCCCTTTTTCTATTTCGTATTCCTATTTCCTATTCTCGCACCCGTAGTCATCACTCCATATTCAAAAATTCAAATGGATTGCAGAAAGTGTTGGCGTTGCGTACTTGCGTCTTGCGTCTCCGTCTGAGTGACCACTCTGACCCGCTGACCGTCTGAACGAGTGAACGCAGCCTTCTGGAGGAAAAACCCTAGGTTAAAAATATAGCAACTAAAAATCTAGGGTTTTATTCAAGACGATTCCCGACGTTGCATGTATGTACATGCACACATACAGTTGAATAAGAAGTTTTCCACAAATCCACAGTGCTTTTGGTGTGCTTTCTGCCAGAAATGAGTTTCTACCCATCTCTCCTTTCTGCTTCGTAACTTTTTGCATGCAATCTGCAGATTAAAACTGAGGACTCTGAGGAGTCGGTCGGCTGATGGATGGATAAAAAGTTACATGGTAGTATGACATAGTTTTGAAACAAATTATTGTTTTTCACATAAACGTTCCGTCCATCGAGGCAAAATGAAGTTCCACGATACATTAGATATTGAATCTCTGGTCAACAAGGTAAGCTACGTGGATAACCATAATTTTTTCATGACTCGTCAGAAAGCTCAGCTTTTTTCACCATTAAGTTTTTTAACCTCATAAAAGTCAAAAAACGTGCTGTATTATAATAGATGTTTTTTGACAGTAAAAATTAGTTTCGTTTAAAAATACATTTTGCCTTGAAGTATTATTGTCATTTGAAATTGGTTTGCATTTCTTTGTAGAGTAAATCCGATCTTACTCCAGAAGAAAAATGGAGGTAAGGCTTTTCTTGCATTAGAGAATACGTTATTTTACGGTTTTTCTATTATCTTGAACGTTTAAATCTATTGTCTTAGAGTGGAGCATCACAAGATGCACGAGCTGCATCGTGGACACGAATCTATGCACGCTGAGATGGTTTTCATTCTTATAATTACAGTTTTTGTTAGCGAAGTAATTCTTATCACATGGAAAAAAAGACATTACAAATCTTATCAGGTAATTTGTAGATGTAAATATTTTATTAGTACTAAATAATAAAGATACAATAGAGCTTTATTGCTTTTTGTTGTTCTCACTTTAAAATGATTTGTTTTTTTTAAGTTTACAAATATTATTTCAAAATTTCAGTTAGTAACACTGATAGGTATGTGGATAATTCCTTTAGTCTTAGCTCTGAGAAATTACTATTGGAGGTTTATATTCTTCTGGCTGGTGTTTTCATGTATCACTGGTTTGATTGTAAGAAAGACTGTTGAAAAACCTATGCAAGGCACAACACCTAGGTTAGTTGTATTATTTTTATTATAAGCCAAATAAGTTTTAGTTTGAATTCGAATAAAATGCGTGATTACTTTATATAATTTATAAAATGTATTTTCTTTTTTCACAGACTAGTGTATAAATGGTTTTATTTGATTTATAAAGCGAGTTATTTTTTGGGTCTTGTTAGTTACTTTATACTGTTAGCAACGTTTTTTGGCTTGAATCTTGTTTTTGATGCCAAACCTCAAGCTTGGATGGACTGTGGACTATTGTTTTTATTTTATGGTCTGTACTTTGGTGTGTTGGGAAGAGACGTTGCTGAATTATGTGCTGACAAACTAGCTTCTCATATAGGGGTAAGTTTTAGTTTTCTAAGATAAAATATAAAATGATCAGTTTTTAATTACTTGTTTAAAAAGGACTTAAAATATTCTTAAAAACTCGTGTTGTATTCAATAGAAAAAAACAAAAAACAAAAATTTTTTAACTTACAGTATTATAACTCTGGAAGTATGCCAACAAGAACTCTAGATCCTAACGTTTGTGCAGTATGTGGAAATAAATTATTAGTTTCTGAACACGAAGAAGGTGTGATTGAAAACACCTATAAACTTACCTGTAATCATGTTTTCCACGAATTCTGCATTCGTGGATGGTGTATTGTTGGAAAAAAGCAAATATGTCCCTACTGCAAGGAAAAAGTTGATCTTAAACGGATGTTCCATAACCCGTATCCTTTTTCACATATAAAACGTAAATTACTGTTTACTGAGCTTGAATAAAAAACATTCAACCTTGACTAAAACTGTCAGTTGGGAGAAGCCTCATGTTTTGTACGGGCAACTTCTCGATTGGATTAGGTGGCTCATAGCCTGGCAACCAGTCATACTTTTTGTTGTTCAAGGTATCACTTGGAGTTTAGGACTTGAGTAAGTAATTGCTGTTGTCATTTAAATCAAGTTGGAGGCAAAGCTTTCGTAATGAGTGAAAAATCATTGTTCCATAGCAGAGGTACAACAGTAAATAATGCTAAACCGAATCATGTATAATCATGTAATGAACTTAAATGAAAAGCAAAAAACTCAAGACTTTTTATGCCACATGTTGTCAGTCTTGTAAATACGATTAAACTGCGTACTGTAAACTTTTATCTGAACTGATCAGTGATTTATTATTATTATTATTATTATTTATATATTTGTGTGATCTATTATTGAATTTCGTATTTATTGAAAGAAAATGCGTTGTTAAAGGAAATAGTTATGTGTTTTGTGATATTTTAATGACCCATTTTATTACACCTTACATTTTAATTCAACCAAGTCATTGATCCATTTTACATATGAGAAAACATTCCTGATAGCAAAAATGAATTTTATGAAACCGTCTTAGTAGAGCTTAAATGAATTTAAATGTGTTACTAGTTAATTAATTTGTTATGTTTTACTAAATTATTGTAGATTTTTGTATTAGTCAAACGCAATTACTATGGCACGTGATTTTTTTCTAGTGTCCTTCAAAATCCTAATTCTTATATTATTGATTTGTTAAAAGTCAATAAATAGCTGTCAAATATATAAAACAATTTTCAAGTTTTATTGAACATCGTATCAAATTTCAAATATAGGTATGGCTTCCTAAATTTGACTTAATTGTATATATAAAAGTTCATCCACTGATTTCGATACTTATCGTTATAAATAGAGTACTTGTTTAACTTTTTTTTTAGTTAAAGTTTTATTTTGGCATTCTTTTATGTTTCGTGTTGTGAAGTTTAACCAAAATTTTCTCAAACTAAGTGTCAACAAATAGCTTAAAGCACATCTTGCGTTACTCCGGTGACAATCTTTACACTCGTACGAGAAATGTCAGTCTTACAAATACGTTGGATGATGTACTATTCAAGCACAATAGGCAGTAAGAGTGCCTTATTTATTACCAGTACTAGCTTCGTAAGTTACATCCATACGGTAGTAATAACAAATCATTTACGCAAGTTTAAGTTTTCTCTTCGAAATCAGCAACGAGAAAAAAAAATGTATCTACATTTTATTTCCGTGAAATATGACTGTACAAGGAAATTTTCCATTGCAGCGTTAATCTACAATTATGTATAAGTAACTATATAAAATGTTGTGCAATTTTATTGAAATTGTAAAACTTTTTTCACCCTTTGCTATACTAGTAAATTGTATATACTGGTAAACTTTTTGTACTACTGTGTCATACACATTCACATATATGGTGTGTTCACTTGCTTGATTACGTGTATGTATGAATGAAAAATAAGTAAGAAACAAGATAGTTTATCTTGACGATAGACTTGCTAGAAGAATTACTATTGAATCAATAATTGTTTGGCAAACTTTTTGTAAATACAATTATTGTAAAACATTGTTTTCACACGATTGTTATCAAGTAAACATAAAACTTGTTAACAGGTAAGGAAAAAAACTTTGAAAAATACTGTAAAAAAATAATATTTGTAAAGCAAATAAAGAAGAATAATAATGTTTGTTTGACGTATTTTCCACGTTCGTTATTAAGATTTCACTTGATTCCCAACTTACCTTTAACCAATGAGGCTTAATTAATCAATATAGTAAATCTATAATTTATCGTACGAAAATAAAGTTCTAAATAGTAGCTTGGATGTTAATAAAAATTTATATTTTTCCAAAAAAAAGTTCAACAGCACAAAATATAAATTTTGTATTGAGATAAAATATAAATTTTTTTTTTATCGTATTGTTACAGATTCGAGCCAAAAGGAGAGGATACGCATCATATCAAAACAAATGATTTTAACGTTAAAGTGACGTGAAAAAACGTATTTTGATAAGATGTGCAAAATTCAGTACCTGTTGCGCATTAAACTTACGTTCATTAAATTGCTGCTTATTGATTTATAATAGTCAACAAAAGTCATGATTATTGTAAGCGAAATAAATAGACACAGGGATTTTTCAATACTTTTTAAACAATCAATTTATTGATCGATTCAAGGAAAAGCCATTTTTCATTTTTTAAAATTCACTTATTATTTATTATAGAAAAACAATTTTCATCACAGGTGGCACAATCACCGTCGCATCTACAGGCGTAATTGTATTTCCTGAATGTCAAAACTTCCGCGAATTATTTTTAATTTATATATAGACACGTTTTACAAAAAAGTAAATTTTTTTTTTCTGAAAAAAATTAATCAAATTCACGGATGTTTCGACGATTGGATACTTTTCAAAAATTTTCTTTACCTTTAAATATGCAGTTAGGATTGCATGAGGGGCTTAAGACAATGCACGATTTGACGGGATAAACATACTTTTCAGCAAAACAAAAAAAAAATTTTGTTTTTAATTAACGTATTACATATTTAAGAAATATACATTAATCATAAATACACGGCATGGCGAAAAGTAAGTTGACAAGGGATAGGTGGAAGGACAGACATACACAAACACTGGGATATTTTATAGATATATTTATTGATTACTTAGCGTGTAAGAGTATATAATATATTTATACCTTACTAGTTAAATATTACATGGTAATATATAATATGTATATTCATTTTTATACCGACGCGTAATTTAATCTTGTGTGTACTTTGAAATTTTTTATTTTCTCTTTGTGTGTTACTTTTTTTTTCGTTAATGTCATCGTGCGGACCATTGTGGAATTTTCAACTATTTACAAGGTTCGTGACATTTTATAAATATATTTACAAGTGTCACTAACAAATATTTTTCATTTTCATATGTTTGTCCACCGCCAATTTCAAGTTTGTTCCTCGAGAAAAAAGAAATTCTACACAATAAACAGCGTCTTGATTTTCACTAGTTTTTTCATCACTTAAATATTAATTAATCCATTTTTTTTTGTTCAATCGATCTACACAGTATTGAATATCAAAATTTTCGCAGTATTTCCATTTATATATTTTTCCGAGTAGCTAAATATGTTGACGATTGATTTTTGTCAAATAAGAAATGGAGGTAAACAAAGAAATAGAACAAAGGATAAAAAACACAATAAGTATACGTAACTGGCCGGAAACGTCGCATGTCAACTAAAAAAAAAAAAAAAATAGATCAATTATTTACAAAAGCTAATGNAAAAAAAAAAAAAAAAGAAAAGAAATTCGAAAGGAGCTTAAAAAAAAAAGAGCTCGGCTCTTCCTTAAAACTCGTCGTAATCGTCATTATCGTCATCCTCCTCCTCCTCCTCCTCTAGTCACGAGTCGTGCCTGTAGGACCTGCCCTTGCGCTGACTGCCGCCGCTCTTTCGCCTCTTCCTCTTTGTATCGCGATTGAACATAACATTGCCCGGATCATCGGCTAATTGGGGGTAGCGGTGCACGCTGTGTATGTCGACGCCCTCGTACCCCTCGACGATACCCCGGCTGATCAGCTCGTCCTTCTCCTCTTTGGTCCAATCGCCCCGGCCCTGGAAGCCCGTGGCCACCAACTGCTTCTCGATCTCCCAGGCTCGCTCGACCGCTCGCTTGTGCGCGTGCTTTAATATCCTGTGGCGCTCCTGCTCGGGATCGGCCCCGTACCTTATCACCACTGCCGCGTCCGCGCTGTGCAGCCTCAGCTCCTTGTACGTACCACCGCCGCCCCCGTGCTCCGTGGTCTCGTGCGTGGACACGTTGAACATACTGCCCAGCCGCCTGAGCTCCTCCATGTCGTCCCGGATCTTGAGCACGTTGTCTTTCACGAAGTAGAAAACGTCCTGGTCGTGGACGCTGAAGTGGAGGGGCAGGAAGTACGAGTTGTTCACCACCGAAGTGATGACGTCCTGGACGACGCTGTTGACGCCGTCGACGACGCTCACGAGGGCTCGGCCGCCCATCCGCGAGACGAGTATACCCTCGCCAAAGACAGCGCGCCGGTGGGCCACGCGCGGCAGAAGATTGCGGGTCTTGGGCTCGAGCTTGAGCAGCGGTTTGGGCACAAAACCGAGCTCCGAGAATTTCTCGTGCACGCGGTTGGCGATGCATTGCAGCCCGCTCATCACACCGAAGCCGGGAGTCAGTTGGGGCGAGGTGATGGTCGCGCTGGGCTGGTAGACCATGAGCTTCGTGTACTCGGAGCCGAGCATCGAGCTTATGTCGTAGCCGTAGAGCTTGAGCCAGGCCGTCAGGTCGGTCATGTATTCGACGTTTTGTTTGAGGTTGATGGGGTCGTTGTTGCGGAAGCGATAGATGAAGATGTCGGTCGGGGTCGTTAGTTCGTTGGCCATCTGTTCCCAGGCTGGTGTCATCCATTGGCCGACGGTCGGGTCGTATAGCCTCTTGTTCAGGTAGACGAGCTTGGTGGTCGGGTCGAAGAGACCACCGTGGAAGTCGATGGGCAGGTAAAAGTCGGGGTTCGTGTCTTTGATGATTTTACCGAAGGGCGTGCGCCTCATCTCCTTGTAGAGGTTGCCGTTTATGTCGAAGAGCGCGATCGGCGAGCCATTCTGGTCCGTGGCTACGTAGAACCGCTGCTCCGACGTCTCGACCGCCATCAAAAAGTCCCTCGAGTCGTACAGGAACCTGAATGTCTTTTGGCTCTTGGGGAAGTGCAGATGCGTTATCAGATCCGGCGTTTTGGGATTCGCGTAGAAGAACTGCGTGACGTTCTCCCTGTCGTCGTTCCACGCGACGAGCCGGCCCCTGTCGTCGTAGTAATACCAGATCTGGAACTGCTTGTGCTCGGCCGCGTGGATCAGCTGACCTCTCGAGTTGTAGCGATACTTGTGCTCGCCTCGAATGACGACGAAGCCACGCTGGTCGTACGAGTTGAATTCGACGTCACCGTACTGGACGACCCGGTCGCCGCTGTCGTAGCCCAGGGTGATCTTCTCGTTGCGCTCTGTCACGCCGATCACGTTGCCGTTCTCGTCGTACGCGTACTGCCACGAGATGTCGGTGTCCACGACCTCCAGCACGTGGCCGTCCGCGTTGTACGTGATCTTGTCTATCCTCGTCCACTCCTTCTTTTCAACCGAGTCTTTACCTGTTGAATCGAAATAACAATATTATATATGGATATTCCTCAAGTATAACGAGATACACAATCAAGATCTGAAAACAATTTGCATTACCAATCATCAGCTTGCGCATCTTGATTCTATTTCTGTTGTCGTATTCGAGTTCCATTTTGAACACGTCCATCGACTTGATGTTCATCAGAATCGTCTCGACTCTGCCGTGCTCGTCGTAATCCGTGACTGTGAAAAACTGCTTGCTCGAGTCCTGCATGACCGACCGATTGAAGGTATTCCTGTGGACCCTCAAGTCGTTCACGGCCTCGAGGATCCCCAGATTTTGATCGTACTTGAGCCGGATCTGTTGAAGCTGCTTGCCGTTGATATCAACGTCGATGCCAGATATTCGCGCGTTGCCGTCGTACTGGTAACGGTAGTGCGCGTTGTCCAGGCCACTCTTGCTCCCGTACTTGATCTTCTCGTCTTTGACGATGCCCGCGTGGTACTTGTACTCGACGCGCATCTCAAAGTTCGGCTCGTTGATGTCGATGCTGCGCACAAGGGCCGTCGTCTCTTGGTACGTGTAGTGCGTCGACGACTGGCCGGCCAGGGTGGTTTCCAGCTTGCCATTGTGATCGTACACGTAAACGACCTTGCCGCTCTGGTGCGGGTAGACCTTGGCCAGGATCTGTCCGTCATCGTTGTACAGAATCTCGTAAGGATGCCTGTTCATCGGCGAATAGTACTGGTACTTGTAGAAGCCCAACGACGTCTGCAGCGAGAACGCGTGTATGTGTCCCCTTGGCGTTGTAAGGGACTGCAGAGCACCGGCTTCGTCGTACTGGAGCAGGTAATCGCTACCCCTTGGCGTGGTGACCTTGAGTGGCAAACTGCTGAACATGTCCTTGAACGCGTAGACCATGGACGTGCCGTCGCTGTACTTGATCTCGTACAGCCTGCCAGCCTGATCGAAGCCGTACGTCTCGCTGATGTCACCCCACGTCCAACTGACCAATCTACTGAATCTGTCGTACTCGAGTTCGACGCCCGCGAATATGTCCCCTCGTGGACCCCACTTGATCGGCCTCGCGGTCTTGTCATACGTCACGTTCAGCAGCTCCACGCGATCATCCTTGAACACGGCCACGGTGTTGGATTCACGGTCATACTCGAGCGACAAAAGTACGTCCCCGTTGACGCGCAGCTTCCGGCCAACTTGGGCGATGGCTTTGTTGGTAGGTGTGCCCGCCGCGGCGGCACCACGGCTCTTGTTGGCCTGCACCTTGCGCAGGAAGTACCGCCACTCGAAGCGGTTGGCCAGGTCTCCGGCGATCTCGGTTCGCTGCTTGGACGGCACTGGGTAGCTTTCGCCGAGGAGGGGCTCGATCTCGCCAAGGATCGCATACGGCATGGTGTCGGTGCTGACGGTGTGCGACCACGGCATCATGCGGCTGACGCTGCCGTCGGTCGAAAGGACGGTCGTGCGCTGTTCGGCCTCGCCGATCTTCGTGACGACGGACGAGCCTTTGATGAGCATCGACACGGGCTTGCGCCCGTTCTGGCCGACCTTGACTGTGGCACCCTTGATGCTCAGGTCGAAGGTCAGACTGATGACTTTACCGGTCGGGGTTACCGCGCTCGTCAATCGGCCGAACTCGTCGTAGTTGTAGACGTAGCTGCGACCGGTTGAGTCGAGCTTCGTCTTGAGAAGGCCCGTGGGCTCGTGGTACTCGAAGGTGACGTTGTAGTTGTCGGGGGTGCTCAGCTCGTGCAACAACTTCATGCGCGACATTCGCAGCCGGCACTTTTGGCCCTTGGTGTTCTCGATCGAGTTCACCTGGGCGCTGTAGTCGCGCAGGAGAAAGACCTTGTTGCCCGCGGCATCGGTGACCGTGCTCAGCTTGCCGTTGCTCGTGTTAACGTTGTAGGCGAACAGGTAGACCGTCTCTCCGGTGAGGATGTTCTTGGTGGCGATGTGCTGGCCGAACCGGTTGAACACGTAGATCTCTTGGGTGTCTGGCGAGTAGATCTCGTACTCGCGGGCACCGCTGGCGTCGGGTATGCTCGCCATGACGGAGCGAATTCGGTAATTGGCTTGGTCACCGATGTGAACGACCCCGTCGGGGCTGACCGCCACCGCGGATATGGTGTTGAACTTGGAGGTCGAGGCCAGGTAGTGGTCGGCCTCGAAGCAGTCGCAGCCACGCTCCAGGCAGTTGCATTTGGACTCGGCCCCGGCGTAGGCGGATATCTTGCCATCGGTGCCAATCACTCGGACGCGATTGATGCGCTGCGAGTCGCTCTCGGCGATGTAGAGATCACCCGAGGGCCCGAACGCAATGCTCTGGGGCATGACGAGGGTCGCGTGGGTCGCTAGCTCGGTGTCGAAGGTAGTCGAGGGCGAGGCGCAGTGCAGTGGACGCCCTGCTACAACCTTGACGCGACCGTCCGGTGCCAGCTGGAGCACCATGTGGTCGTCGATCATGTGTAGCGAGTTGTCCAATGGATTGATGGCTGTGGAACATACCCACGTAATATTAACAAACGCGTTATCGAGACGAAAAATAATTATGTATAAGCTGTGTGGATGAAATCGGAGTGAAAAAATCTTACCCAGTTCTGTGGGCCAGCGCAGGTGGACCTCCTCAACGTTGAGCGTGCCCTCGCAGGGAATCGGCCGCCAGTGGCTCTTGTGCATGTGATTGCCGATGATGGTGGTGATGATGCCGTCCCTGTCAACCATACGGATATTGGTACCGTCAGCAAAGTAAAGCACGTTGTCGGCCGAGATGGCAACGCCCTTGGGATAGGCGAGCTTGGCGTCTCGAGCAAGGGCACCGTCACCACAGTGAGCCTCGTCACCAGGCAGACAACGCTCTCCTGAGCCCACCACCGTTTCCCAATTGTGCTCGGGGTCCGAGTAGTCGGTGGTGTTGCGCACTCGGATGATTTGGTGAGACTCGGGATCGCTGACGTACAGCGAACCGTCGAGCGGGCTCAGAGCTATGTGGTACCGGTAAGAGACATGGGTGGCACTGCAAATCGAAAATTATTTAGTTTTGTCACGCAATCAATGAGAGGTGCAGAATTTTCGTGGAAACGAGAAAAACGAAGGATTGCTCACTTTAGCCGAACAATGGTCCTCACGGTGCCGTCGACCAAGATCTTTCTGACGAGGTTGAAGTCGCCGACGAAGATGGAGCCATCGGGAGCCGTGGCCAGAGCGACAGGGGCGAGCAGTCGCTGCTTCGACGCCTGTCCGTCGCAGTCGTAGCACTCCAGTGGCCTCTGATGCCCATCACCCATCGTCGTCAGAATAACGCGAGGCTTGTGCTTCAGATAAATATTTGAACCGTCGCCCTTCTGCAAAATGCCCTCGTGGAAGTTGTACCGGTGATGGATGTCCAGGTTCCAGCCGCCAACCTCGGAGATCGACATATCGTGGCCACTGAGCTTCGTCGTCTGCACGTCCCAGATGACGTCCTTGCAGTCGCTGTACTCGTAGCCGACCTTGACCATAGCTGTCGTCACCCCGTACACGCGCTGACGGTAAACGTTCAGACGGTTCCAGGCGTAAGTGAACTATAAACGAGGAACATTTGTTTGATATATCACGGTGGCGCCTCGACACAAAAAGTAAATATAAAAAAACAATCCACGACTACTCACTTTGATGACCGGGTCGGCCTCAAAGGTCTTCTCGAAGAGGATACCCTCGATCGTGATCCTCAAGTGAATGAGGTTCAGAGTCGGTGGGATGACATCGGGGGTGAGTTGAAGCTGGATGGTCGAGAGGTAACCAGCGGCTCGCGAGCTGTGGTAGACGAGGTTCAGCCCGGTGCCGGGAATTTGAATGCTCTCCTGGACGACCTGGGACTCGGCGAGGATGGCGCTCTTGTCCGGACACGCGCCCTGGAAGCCGTGCTTCCACGTGGCCAGCACCACGGGCTTCATGAGGTCGTAATCGTGAGCCGCGCAGCTGTGCGTCACGTGGACCAGTGGCTTCTCGTCCGCCGTCGTCATGACGAGCTTGTTGATTATCACCACCTGGTTGTGAAAAACAAGTGATCATTGATTTTTGCTTTGGAGAAAAGTAAGGATGGAGCTTGGGAAAGCAACGGACCTCGTTCCAGGGCACGAAGACTATGTGGCTCTGGGCCTTGAAGGGCGAGCGTCCGAATTGCAGGGTAACGGCTCCACCGCCGTTTACCAAAAGGTCGAACCAGCCGTCGTCCCGAGTGAGGGTGAAGCCTTCCTGGGGCGTGCTCGTGCTCACGCGCACGCCCATCAGACCCATTCCCAGTGAGGTGACGACTCGTCCGCGAACCACCGCTGACCGACTGTTGTTGAGAGGCGCGAGGAAAAAAAAAAGGCGATGAGTTGGTTGGTTTTTTTCTTTTTCTTCTTCTTTTCATAGTATAAATTTTGTACGCACGCCCCATTGATTTGCTTGAATCTCTCGAGCGAAAATTCGCTTGAATCGTTTCGCAAAAGAGCGAATTCGTCACGAGATATTCATGCGATGTTTTATTAATCGAGGCTGCGTTTTTTATATTATCGCCACTTTCGTGCGTTGACTTTTGCTTATGTACACAAAAACTACTTGGTGATCGTCTTACTTGGTTGAGGTTGAAAAAAGTACGCGTGTATGTATAATTGTAAGTGCACGTAAAAAAAGTTTTGGTCTTATTTATGCAGAAAAATTTGTTTTTTAATTTATTCATCTGTCGATTTCAATTCGAATCCAAACTGTAAATACCCAATTTTCGTAATTCTCAGTTACAGAGAAAAAATTTTTTAAATTTGAATACTCAACAGTTCGTTGGAAAGAGTCGTCTGTCAGTGTTTTTTCCTCAAATCGTCATTCTATAATAAACAAAAGTCTTTTTCGTCGACAAAAGTAAATACAGATGTATTGAAGCTCAACATAAAATTTCACGGAACACAACACAGGATTCGTAAGGAAAACTGAACCATGCAACGTAAAAAAACAATATACTTTGATGGCTTTGCATTGTAAAAGAGGACACAGAGAAAAAAAAATTTTATTTTTTTTGGTCGTGAAGAACAAAAACACATATAGATACGTATGTACGATAACGTACAAGAAAATTGAAATTTTTCTTTGCTAAATCAATTAAATGCAACAAAATACATTGGTTTTTTCGAAGGTCGTAAAAGACAAGAGGAACCTTCGAAAATAACGCACACAAGACATACAAGTATAAGAAATAAAAAATAGAGGCACAATGAAATGAGCGTCGAATACGGGATATCGACGCCATATGGATGCAGAGAAACACATAGACAGACATGTATTTTTTATTAAATGTGTACACATACATAGATAATAAAATGTAAAAAAGGAAAATTATTTTGCAAAAAGCTACTTTCTCACATGTGTTTGCATGAACTAATTTTTTTCTTTTTTTTTTTCAAAAGGAGCCAAAAAAGGAACTAAAGGGCGGTAAATTAAACAAGAATCGAAACAAGCTGCTCAAACAATACAAACTAAAAAACAAAAAAGGATTTTTAAAAATATGTATTTAAAGATACATTGTTTTTATTTCATATTTCGATTAAACATTTGCTTCCTAACAAACATTCGGTTCTCACTCTGTTCAACATCGACTCTACAATAGCCTTTCGTTTCCCCCATATTTGTGTTATTTAATTAATTTTTTTTTTTTTTTTTTTTTGTAAATCATCGTCAAACTAATCAAATGACTTTCTTAAAGTTTTCACTATCGCTTATTACATTGATTTTTTATTTCATTATAATTAATTGTTTAATATATACAATCTACATATCGTATTCACGACTTTCGAATTTTCCTTGCGCTCTTTTATTTACGTGTTAATTTTTTACCTACACGGTAAATGCATAACTTTTTTTTCCCTTTTGCTCTAAGAATACAAATATGTATGTATTAATAAAGGTGGCGTCGATTTTCCTTTCGCCAATAATAATTATAGTTTATACATTTAACAAAATGAGATTAGATTACAATAGACGAGAGTAGAGGAGAAAAAGTGCAACGTATAAGGAGGAAAGAAAAATCGACGCAACTGGCGAGTCGTAGTTTTTTTGTCTTTCTTAACATTATTGTTTATTTTGCGTGTTTATATGTATTTTCGCATTTTTCGGTGTATATGTGGATTTACGCAAAAGTGTTTACATATAAAAAAGCGTCAATCGATAGTTCCACACAAGTCTTACATCCTTACAAATTATTTCATACAGGTAATTATCTACATGTAAAATATTAATTGATTATCGTATTTACAGAGTCACCTTAAAAATTAATAAAACTTAAATTAACTCGTTCGCTACGTAGTAGTGTTCATATTCACTTGTTTTTGAAATCTCCTCAATCGTGCACCATTTTTACGTTTATTTATTCCTCGTTTTAAAAATATCTACTTTCTATTACCTCTCCTGACTCTCTGATCCACACCAACATCACACTTATTTTTTTGCGCTCTTGCTTTCCTTCGCGAAAAAAAAAAATTGGACGATCATCATCACAAGTACGTGTTTTTTCAAACTTTTACCATTTTTTGTTTAACTGTCGTGTGTGCTTCTTAGACCCTGTTATTACGATCCGCGAACCAAAAATAAAAGTGTTAGGCCACTGTATGTAGACGTTTTCCTTTACAATCCCTCGCGTCGAAAAAGCAAAAAATAAACTCCTAATGTTATTATGTTTTTTTTTCTCGGAAAAAATAAAATAAAAAGAAGAACAACGAACAAATACACTTGTATGATGTGTATATTAAAGCAGTCCCGAGGAGACGATTGGCTAAATCACACGCAATATTCGTTTGCGGTTTAAAATTGCCCCTCCATCTTCGTCATACGATTGAAATAATAATAATAATAGTAGTAATAATAATAATAATCGTTAACAATATTCATATTTCATAATCACACCCGCATTAAACCTTCTCATCATCGTCATCGACTAGCTTTGATTCCTTGCACGCGCTGCGATCCCTTTCGGAACATTTCTTTTGTTTTTCCCCCCTCCATTAAACGCGCTGATTTAAAAAATGCATAAACATGGCACGATGCTTTTATTTCTCTCTCTAAAACGACGAGCCAGGGCTCGCGGTCGCTTTAAAAAAATATACGGAAGCCGAAAAGGTGCGCAGCGTCGCGCTGTACGAAAGTACGTTTTTCATTCACCACTTCGAAAACTCACACACTCATCACTTATCCTCTTTATCAGCCAAACGAACAAAATAAAGAACACGTGTTTATAATATTTGTGTGTAAAATAGAGGAAAAAGAANGCTTTTAAGTATGGCTATGGCATCGTTGTTTTACTTCTACTCACATCATGTGTTAATTTGACACAATTGACACATAGATGTATTACGTATATTAAGTATCGAGAATTTACCAGACCTATTTTGCAAAAAATTAGGTACTCAATAAGTGTGTATTTGTGGACATGAAATTTTTATGGACGCCATCATATAAATATGCAGATGTTACGTCCGTTCATTAAATGCTGCTATGCCTTTATGCAGCATTATTTATTTGAGATTATGAGCCGCAGAATAATTTTTTATGATTGGACACGTTTTATCATCAAGTAACTTATAAAAAAATATTATTTCATATATTTTAATAGTACATGAATGATTCTCTCAACACTTTTTCAAACGGATTTATTTCTTTTACTAAAAAATTACAATAGTTTGTACATTTACTTTGACAGGGAACTACTGTAATTAAATTTACAAACTTTTACATTTTATCACAGATTTGCTAACAGTTTTTTCTTTAGATAGCAATTGCAACAAAGTTATTAATAACCAGTAAAAAATAAGTAAATCATATTAAAAAAATAGAATGTACATAATTCATTATAGGTAATATTCCTTAAATTAAAAATTTTTTTAAATATAAAAATTATTATCCCATAGTAGCATGATGATCATGCTGTGAACACATTCATAATTTTGCATCAACAAATTCAATAAATCGATCAGTTAAAAAGTTTTATAAAAAAATCTGTTAATTCGTAAAAATACTGAGTATTTTTGAAACAAGTACTATTTAATGACTACCATCTTCCTCCAAAACGATCACTACCATTTCTTCCTCCTCTATTTCCACCTCTGCTACTTCCATATCTTCTTCCATCTCGTTCCTCAGATTTTCTTTTCTGCATCTCATCATGACGATCAGCCATACTGTACAGTTCTTGTGGTATCTCCTGTCGACAGNATTTATTAGTTTTTTTTTCTTCTCTAATTAGAAAACAATAAAAAATATGATAAATGTGTTTCAAGTGTGATTATTAAAAACATAGAAAATACAAACAATGTCCAAGTACTCTATTTACGACATTTGCCTCAATTTAAACAATGCGATTAGCAATTAGCATTAGTGCTTTTATTCTTTTAATTAAATATATACATTTATTTTTATTCTTGAGTGTAAGACTATAATTTTCATCTGTATGTTCAATTGTTATTAATATTATTTTACGGTTTCTTTTTCTCTCTCCCTTATTTTTTTTGGCGCGAAGATTTAACTTCGCGCCTCCGGCTAGTAAACTGCACGGATTTATATAATGTGTACAAATTTTTTCTTCGTATAATATCAGAACAGCGGATTTCTACTAACGAACGGAAAAAATTTGTTACATCTCAAGATATCGTAGTCTACAGGCGGTTAAAAAAGAAATTAGTAGGGAGTCGACTTTTCACCACTTTTTACCCTTATTTTATTTGATATTTTATTAAATGGACCTATCAGCCGTTAAGAGATAAAAATACTTGATCAATATTCGCACCAATTTAATCGATCGAGCGTAATTCATCGATTTCTCGAATAAAAAAAAAAAAAAAAAATTTTTTTAAACCAAGCAACAAGAAATTTTACAACCTTGTTCAACCAATCACGAAAGATTCGTTAAAAAAGTAATCACGAGCAGTGAAAAGCCTGTAAAATTTCTAAATTTGCGTACAGACAAGTTACACAACAGTTAAGTACAGAGAAACGCGTCGCGAGTTTGGATATGTACAACAATTGATGAACGTTTTCGAACACGTTCGCGCGAGCAAATGCACCACCAACACGAAAAAGTCTGAAATAACAAAATCATACCCTTTTTTGTTGCCAACACTCTTTATTTACCTGCCGGTTCCATTTAAAGTTTATTAATTATTTTTGGTTGCATTTATTAACATCGTACGCTGCAGTTATGATTATGTATCATCAGCTCATTGTACACACTCTACGTGGAACACAACGTGGTGGAGCGACGTGGCTCGCACGTTGGCTCGATTTTTTTATTATTATTATTAAGTGTTTATTACTCATTTCACTTTCTATGGGTTTTTTCTTTCAGGTTTTCACCTTCGGGCTCAGACGCGCGCGCACGTGGTTATATTATATTTTTTCATCTAAAATCTTTATTATACTTTTGTTTTTGTTAATACTCGCTATAAACATCGACATTTCCATTTGTTTTTTTTTTTTTTCCAAAAAAAAGTTCAACAGCACAAAATATAAATTTTGTATTGAGATAAAATATAAATTTTTTTTTTATCGTATTGTTACAGATTCGAGCCAAAAGGAGAGGATACGCATCATATCAAAACAAATGATTTTAACGTTAAAGTGACGTGAAAAAACGTATTTTGATAAGATGTGCAAAATTCAGTACCTGTTGCGCATTAAACTTACGTTCATTAAATTGCTGCTTATTGATTTATAATAGTCAACAAAAGTCATGATTATTGTAAGCGAAATAAATAGACACAGGGATTTTTCAATACTTTTTAAACAATCAATTTATTGATCGATTCAAGGAAAAGCCATTTTTCATTTTTTAAAATTCACTTATTATTTATNAAAAAAAAAAAAAAAAAAAAAAAAAAAAAAAAAAAAAAAAAAAAAAAAAAAAAAGTATACGAATGTACAAGTTTTCTTCATGAAAAGTGGATAGGGGATCGAAAGAAGACCATGATATAACTGAGCAGTGATATAATTATGTCGTGTACATGTGTATGCTTGTATTGGATAAAACATAAAGATGAAGAAAAATATTGAATGAGAAGGTAAAAGTATATGTAGGGGTACGTATCATGAGAAGAGAGGGTTCAGTGCAGGGCACACATTCGCGCACACGTATACGTAATACAAAACATATGTTGAAAAAAAAAAAAATAAAATGTTGGGATGTGATTTAACACGGGCCACAACAACGCAGAGGGATTCATAATAATAATGTACACACATAGGCATATACTTTGCTACATGTGTACGATATACATAATTATTTTTATCGTCATTTACACATGTATTAATCTGTTATAGATGGAAACATTTGTATATATATATTTGAATCGAGAGTAATTAGTTTTATCGTGAAAACCAGAAAAAGGAGGATTGGTGGGCCATACCTTTCGTTGAAGGTCTCCTGACGGGCGTAGTTCTGCAGACTACCGTCGTCAATCAAGAATTTCATTCTCTCGAAGAACGAGGCCGTTATAGCGGGCGGCTGCTTCCTCAGCAGTATGTCGATGGGCTTGGGCGCCGAGACGCACAACTGACTGCCCCGGCAGACCGGGTTCGCGCAACACTCCGGATCCGCGCAATCAACCAGACCGTCTGCGCGTCCAACAAACAACGATCAACGCGTGTCATTTGCACTCTCTCACTTTCCTCTATATATATTATGTAAGATGAGACATCCATCGGTGTGTTTACGTGCGCTTACCTTTGTCGTTGTCGCGGCCGTCGCTGCAGTCCTGCTCGAGGTGGACGCTGCAGTCCTTGCCGTTCCAGCCGTCGTAGCACTTGCACTCCCACTGGGCGTCCGAGTTGACCTTGCACTGGCCGTGGCCGGAGCAAGAGTTCGGGCAGCCCTCCATGGTGCAGTGGCGGCCGTTCCAGCCGGTGACGCAGAGACAGGTGCCGTTCTTGCACTGGCCGTGCTCGTTGCACCTCGGGTCGCACTGCTTGAGGTTGCAGAGCTCGCCGGACCAGCCGGCCAGGCAGTCGCAGGCGTTGTCGACGCAGTGCCCGTGTGGCCCGCAATCGAGGTCGCACAGCTCCTTGGAGCAATCGTCCCCGGACCACATGGGCTCGCACAGGCACGTCTGGGTCTCGAGGTCGAAGCTCCCGTGGCCGCTGCAGCCGGGCAGGCACTGCAGCGCCTCCTTGTCCATTTGGCTGCAATCGGCGCCCTTCCAGCCCTTCTTGCAGATGCACGCGCCACCCTCGGCGCAAAAGCCGTGGCCCGAGCAGCTCGGGTGCGGGCAGTCCGGCTCCTCGCAAAACTTGCCCTTGTAGCCGCGCACGCAGTTGCACTTGCCGTTGGTGCAGTGGCCGTGCCCGTTGCAATCCGGCACCTCGCACTCGTCGTGGCGCAACGAGCACTCCTTGCCCTTCCAGCCGGGGTTACATTGGCACTCGCCGTTTATGTACTCGCCCCGTTGGCTGCACAGCACCGGGCAAACGCTCTTGCTGCAGTCCTCACCGCCGAAGCCCGGGTTGCACTGGCAATGGCCGAGCAGGCACTCGCCCTTGCCGCTACACCCGTTCGGGCAGTTGTGCGTCATGTCCTCGGCCACCACCGCGATGAAGCTCACCTCCTGGGGATCCCCGTCGTCGTTGTACAACGACAAGAACCAATGGCCCGGCTCCATGTAGTGCGTCACCTCCTTTTTTATCGAGGGTTGCTGCAATCAACCACAATCAATTGTTACAATCCTCCTCACATCCGACACGAATCTCGTGGGGGGGTACAATAAAATCACTTACGTGCGAGGCTCGGGTTGTCCTGGCCTTGAAGCCGCTCAGCACCTCGAGGAGGTCGTACTGGGTGTGGGTCGGCAGGGCGTTTCTGCGGGCGTACACGCCGATGCTCGCACCCCGGGTTATGTTGTAGTCGAAGCGCACGTAGGCCGGCTCCGACTGGTAGAACTGCATGTTCCAGTAACTGTAGGCCGGGATTTCCCGGTTCAGGTGCTGGCCCAAGCTCACCTGGGTGAACGTCGTGCCGTCCGGTGGGAACGACCTGCCCGGGAATGTTCTGCCACCTGTCGAGTCAAAACGAGGTTTTTTTTTTTCTTTAAACCATTTTTTTCATCCCCCTCACTATCGTGATAAATAAAACGAAGCATGAGGTAAAAAATGGCGCATCACATCAAGTGAATCATCGTCTATGAATGACTAAAAAAAAAAAAAAAAAAGGTATTTGTATTGCATATCATTATGTACATCTGTCAATGACGTCGGGTAACGGAATACACACTCCTCGCGATATTTCGCCGCACACCCACGCGCAAATACATCCTACTCGCTGAAGCGGAAGCCGAAAGATTTACAAGAGAAGGAAGGCGGTTAGTCGTACATTAGTTGCATTGTTAGTAAACCATTCAGAGAACGTGCACCGGTCAAGTCGATTATCGTTAGTATGCTCGGTTAGTGATAATAAAATCGCTCGCATAAACATTAGTTAGTAGCAGCATCGTATGTACGAAAGTAAAAAATAAAGAAACGATCCCCTTTTCTCGTCTGTACAATACACATATCTGGTACACTTGCAGTGGACGGCGGTCGTTGTTTTGCTCGATTCGATCGAAGCTAACGTTTTTCGTTTCCCTCCTTCCGATCCTACAGTGCGAGCGAGACGAAAAACGCATAGCCAACAGGTTCGAATCGACCAACAAAAAAAGAACCCCGTCCCGGTGACCTGCACTGCGTCCACCCCCTCACCTTCCAGCATCGGTACAACGGGCTCCGGCTGGGTAACATTACTCGCCGGCCGGCAACTCTCCCTTAGCTCCGTATCCTCGGCTCCAACACTAGTACTTCTCGCAGTGTCCTCCTCCGTAACCGCGCTAGCATCTCCAGTAGTCTCCGTCCCTTGCGAGGTCACCGACCCAATGGTCCCGGCCTCGTAAACCTCGCTCGTGGTCGAAAGATCGTCCCACTCGCTCGGACCCGCTGCCACCAGGCACGGGCACTCGCACTCGCACTCGCACTCGCCACCACCCCACAACGGCAACGGTGGTGAACTCGGCGGTTTTGGAGGCGGCGGGGAGGTCGTCGTGGATGTCGGCTGATCAGGAGCATCAGTGACGCCAGGCCCATCGCCGGAGATACCCAAGGATCTCTCGATGCTGCCCAGGGACTTTTTAATGTCGGCCAGCGACTGCTCGATCGACAGAGTCCGGGTCGTTGGGTGTTCCGGTGCTACTGTGCTTTCGGGTCGGACGCCCGGGACGTTTACGTTAATCGAGGCAGAGTCGGGCACGGCCAAAGACACCACGTAGAGGGTCGAGTTGTTCGTGGACACGGTGAGGTTCACCAGCACACGAGTCCCGGAGGCTTCGGTGACCGGGACCTCGGTCTTCTCTTCGCGAAGAAACTGGTCGCTCGGCGAGCGTTCCACCGAATTGGAGATGTAACGGGTGCCGTCGTCGTGGGGTCTGCTGATGACTTTGGTCCCCGAGCCTCCGTCGCTGGCCACCGAGCGGAACTTTTCCTCCAGTTTTTGGAAAAACTCGCGCTTGTCCGGCTTCTTCATCAGCTCCTCGAGCTCCCTCTCGTCCTCGTCGTAGCTGATGTCGTCTATCGCGTGCAAGTCGTTGCCCTCGCTCGTCCCTGGGTGTTTGGTAGGGCTGTGCCCGTCGAGTTTCACGATTTCCAGCTCATCGTGTCGGTAGTAGTCGAACGGGTAGTCGCGCTGAAGCTCCTCGGACGAGTGACGAGGTGCCGCCTGGTCGGCCAGCACCACTTCTCGAGTCACCTCGGGGAAGGATGGCCTAGTCGACTCGTCCTCGCCCCGACTGATCGCCTCGCCGTGAGTTACCCCCGCGACTCTGTTCTCCGCGGTAACCAGAGCTACGTCCCTCGCGAGAGTCGTTAGTGGCTCGTTTGTCTCCGGGTCGTCAACATCGGCGGTACTTCCGTAACTCTCTGGCGTAATAAAATCTCGCGCAGCGGCCGTAATTTTTCCCGTCGTCGCTAAAACCGCGTCCAAAGTATCCTCGTAGGGGAATGGGCTCACACCAACCGATCGAGTACTCGAGGGGCCATAGCTACCGTAATCATCGGGGCTGCTACTATCCGTGGTTGGGTAATAAACAGAGAAATCGTTAACAGGAGATTCCGGATTAGTGTGTTCTACCGTAAAGGAGGAGGAGGAGGTCGGCTCGCTCGCCTCCTCCTCGGCGTTAGTAGCAACTACCACCCCCTCGCTATTAGAGACGGTGCTTTGGTCATGCAATAGCGACAACAACAATACAGTGGTGTTAGCAACATCGGGATCGGCATAGGTGGTAGTGGCATTGCCAACAACACCCTCGAGCGCGTCAACCGGGTTATCCTCGTTCCCAACGACACCACCACCGTAGTCAACCTCGTCATGCTCGGGCGCGCTTCTACGCTCGCGGGCGGTTCGCTGTGGTTCCTCGCCAGGATCCTCGCGAGCATTACCTCCGGCGTTAGATGGCTGGCGCTTGCCCGCGGAGCTGGGCCCCAGTGACGTTGCGGTACCGTTGCCGGCGGGGCCTCCTCCACCGGCGCCGCCGCTGCTTTTCGCCGCGTCCGGGCCCCCGGGCTTGCCGTCGTCGACCAGCACTGTGCAAGCCTTCGTGCCCTGGTACCAGTTCACCATGTTCGATGCTAACGTAGATGAGGGGGGGGGGAAGAGACAAGAGAAATGTTAATTTTATTTTTTTTTTTCTCAGTGAAAACATACGCACAAGAAATCAAAAAGAAGAAGAAGAAAAAGCACGTACCTGTTACGTAAGTGAGGGCCGCGAGTAGGCACAGCGAGACCATTATCACGACAATCGCGATGATTTTCCAGCTGCACCAGTCGACGCCCTTGCGAAAATGACAACGGATGCTCTGCCTCCTCATCGGGATCATCGAGGAGGCGTGTCCGTAAGGAAGTGGTACCCTGCAAACGAGAAGGAAAAAAAAAAAAAAAACACATACAATCCCGTGCAATTATCGCATGGTACAAGAGAATACGTCTATTATTTTTTTTTCTCTCTCTCCACGCAAATGAAACTTTTTTTTTTAATTTTCCAAGCGATGAAAAATATAATTAATCATATCCGCAGCACAATCGCAGGTGCATGGATCCATCAGATCCGACGTGTTTCGATAAACCGTTTAACACCGCGTGTATAGGTACAAATACCGCAATGAAAATATATATGTGCCTAGTCACTCGTTATTAAAATTACGCTCGAGGATTCTAAAAATAAGTACCCGATATATCCCCACACAATATAATACACGCTTGTATCCATTACGCGTGTAGGTGTATACAGCCGAGCACCGCCCCGACTAATTCGTGTCTCTCTTGTCACCTCCCCCATTATGATGCGAGGGAGAAAAAAAAGGGCATCGTAACGCACGTCGTATTTTCCACATGTACCTATACACCTATACCGATATACATCAGGTTCACGGCGTCTCCTTTATTCTCTCCTATAGCACATGGGTATTGTATAGATATATACCTATGGACAGAGAGCCAAAAATATAGGTACCCACACGTACACACAACACATATGCCGAGACGCGAGGGATCCCGCAAAGCAAAGGAAGGAAAAATATTTAAAAGGGAGTTCCCAGGGTCAGTCCTGCTTTATGTTTGCTCTGCAGCCGCTATAGCTGCTTCTCTCTCGTCTCCCTTTTCCTCTCGTTTCCATGTATACATGCATAAGCTGGCTTGCAGGGAGTTTGTACACAAGTGGACTGCAGGAGAGAGACTCTTCGAGGTGGTCCGCGGCTGATGGATCCCGAGGCATTAGCCTCTCCCCCCCCCCATCCTCGCTCGAAATTCCACGTTTTCTTACTGTACACGGCGCGGTGGACCCCTCGCGGGGATTACTATCGACACTGCTCTCTTGCGTTTTTCATTGCTCCGTTTGTTTCTTAAAAAAAAAAAAACATTTTTACTTTCTCTCTTCCTTTTTTTTTTCAAACTAATCAAAACCAAAGGAAAAAAAATACGTGTTGCACCAATTCAGTGAGCTAATTGAAGGAGGTACGAGAATGCCAGGAATCAATCAGTAGAAGTAAATGGTCTCGAGTAAATGATCGAGCATCAGGGGGAGGGGGGAGAGACGTAGGATGAGTCGGAGGAAAAGAAATCCATGTCAATGAGTCAGTTGCATAGCGGGTGGCGATAAATTTGCTCGATTAGCGCACATTAGGCGGCGCATGGTATTGGGACACGGGGGGAAGAGACAGAGAGAGAGAGAGGAACAGCCGATGTCGTAAATAATTCTCTCAATTATCTAATAGAGCCGATGGTCGCGGCACAACACACACGAGAGAGCGGGTCAAAAGCCACTAAATCCCGTATGGGTCCACATTCGGCACGACCAACGAACGAACGACACGGGGGGTGATGCGTATACATCTCTGGACTACTAACGCGCCACCGGAATCTTTTCGCCTATCGTCCATTTAAATTATTTAAAATTAGTGTAGCGATTGATTGGTATTTTTTTAAAATAAATCCTTGCGGCCATCAAGAACGAAAAAGACAATAAAGGGAAAAAAAAAAAAAAAAAAAAAAAAAAAACATTTTCGACGTTGCGTCGGATGTCCCATTGACGGTGTAAAAGTGGCACAGTTTGTGTGACACTCGAAGAGCTTTCTTTTCATCGCTCTCCAGCCGGCGTGGTTGTCGGGGAAGAAAATGGAAATGATCGAGGAGCCCAGGCGAAAATTCGGGTGCTCGCGCGTCGGTCGTGAATCACGTCCATTGACGCGACGAGTGAACGGGACCGTGGAAAAATTTTTGGAAGAAAAAAAAAAAAAAAAAAAGAGCTTTGTTGGAGTCGTCCCTTTTTCCCCGCCTACCGATCTCTTTCGTCGCTAAACGGAGGAGTCTCCTTCGGCGTGCCCCGGCTGATGCACGTCGAGCACCTTTCCACCCTCGTGAATGAGACTCGGGCTCCTTTGTACAAGCGCGATTTCCCGTACGCGTTTTTATACATAAAAGAGGGAGGAGAGTTTTCCGAACGCAAGTGTTGTGTACACAAGGTCCGGCGTTCGCGGGATTTCGATGCGCGCATTGTCGATTCGATCGGTTCCGAGTTGGTGACATCATGATTTATGCCGGCGTATGGATTTTAAAAAGGCCGTTGAGAATTTTTCAATCAAAAGATGAGATGTTCTTCTTCAAAACTAGGCCGGATTGTGGGAATTGTTTCATCAAAGATCGTCAATGAAGGACATTGTAGAAAAAACACTTGACGCGGAGCCGTGTGATATTAAAAACAATTAATTATCCCTCGACGTGATTTCTCTTTCCCGCATTGTAATGTTATATGCATTTCAAGTGTAGCTCCGGGTTCCTTAAAAAATGCTGAAACCAGTACAATGCAAGACAAACTGCCCTTGCTCGTACACGGGAGGAAAAAGAAAAAAGACCAAAAGAGAAAGGGAGGGAGAAAACGTCGCGTGTACAGCGGGAGGGAAAAAAAAAAAGATGATTCTATTTCTTAAGGATTTATACCTGTATGACCAAGAGGAAAAGGAGGGTGCCCATATAATAATTTAAACGCCATGCAGCGTCCCTTTTCTCACACACATACACGCGCGGATGTCCTTTTCGCGGCTGCTGTTGCCAGCTTTTGAAATATCACGCGCTATAAAGTTTCATTTGCGTAAGAGTAGGTGTTTTTGTTAGACTTTCACGGCAACTATATGAGTGAAATATCCTTGTGACACACCAAAACATACAATAATAATAATAATAATAATAATAATAGGTATATCCTTACCTGTCCATGTTGTTTTGTAACTCGACTTTTATTGGACTGTTTCCCGTTGATTGGTTTTTATTGTTGTAATCATTCTTAGGTTTCTCTGCAACAGAAATAAAAAATTTCGAGTTTATTATTATTATTATTATTACTCTACCTCTTCAGCAAATAATATACACTTGTATAGTAATTTTAATTGCATCGGGTTACAATATCGTTACGTGTAAACCCGCGTGTCCGAAAAATCCTTATACCTCAACGCTCGATCGGCACTGCTGTACATCAGTCGTACGATCTAAAAAAAAAAAAAAAAACAATGCGTGTACGCGCGAGCTCGATTAATCACGCACCAAAAGTCTCTATGAAATTTCGTAATAAAGAATCAAGCCGATGATTAATCGATCCTTGTTCCGCGCCTTTTTTTTTTCCCTCTTCGGCCTCCACGTGTAAACCAAAAGTCGGAGGACTTTTGTCCGTAAGGGTGATATACAGGAAAGAGGGGGTAGGCGCAGTTGTGCTGCCGTCTACCTTCTGCCGTTTCCCTTCGAGCGTACGCACACAAATGTACTTACTCCCCACTTTTCTTTTTCTCCATCTTTCCACGCGCAAAGAGCGCATGGAGAGGCGGAGCCACTTTTAAATTAATTACCGTCCAAGGGTAACGCGCGTATAAGATACACCTTTTTTCTCCCACCCCCCTCTCTCACACACACGCGCGCCATTAGTATACGAGAGCCCGATGCACCAGTCCGCGTTTTTTTTCTTTTCGTTTCCGTCATCCATCCCCTTCGCGCGTATATCACTACCGGTCTTGCGTATACGCGATTGCAAATAATAACACGTGCCTGTACGCGGTATCGCGATGCAAATTTAATGACATACTCGAGAGCGCCGGGAAAGCCAGAGCATGTGTGTAGGAAAAGCCGATCGGCTTCCGGCGACCACCTCGGCAAAAATGAAGAGGTACAAAAAACCGATCGGTATACACCTTTCCGCGGATAATGCGTGAGGAATCGATAAGTGCACCATGCCTCCACACTTTACGCTTTGGATTTCAAGGGCGGCCTACCCACGTGTGTGTATATGGGGGGGGGGGGAAGGAAAAGACCACCGTGCGAGTGTATCATGTATATGCGCACGTGCGTATACATACAAGCTGAGCTGCCGATCGTCTCCTTTTGGGTTTTTCTAAAAGAAACGGGAGACTTGTACTTTTGTATACATATCTCTATGGCGCGTCTCGCATGCAGGACGAACAACTTAAGCTCGGGTTTTATATATATATATACACATTGTACTTCTCGAATTTCACTTTCGACCGGAACCGCATCGCGAACGCTCGTCATTACTTTTTTTCGCAGCGATGATATTATCGCGATCTTTATAGTTTTGCTGGCGAGGGGGGAGGGGGCCGTATTGTTTTTTATGACGCAACGCACCGGCACCGAGAGAGCGATTTCCCCGTGAAATTAAGCCGGGCTCAGGCGATCAATCTCCCTACGGGCAGTAAACTTTCATCGCTCCGATCTCGATACGTTGTATTGTATACTCGTACACTTGCCCCGAGTGTATATAGAGGCGAGGGAATCGAGCCGAGATGAGAAATAAGAAACAATATGCGAGGGCGGTGGTACGATGACGTAACCGCGCCAATCATCGAGCTTGCGAAATCATTATTACTCGCGTGTATAGTGGAGTGACAGGAGGAAAAGGCGCGCGTGGTATGGTGGAGAGATGCAAAAATAGCGTATACAAGATAAGGGCGTATGGACGGCAGTTGAGGTTCACCGGTGCGTGTGTATACGTGTAGAAGCGCGCGTTAAAGGGAAATAAAAAGCACAAGAGAGGAGCGTAATTCTCGTATGTATCGCGAGTGAAGCCTCGGAGCGGGACACGAAAGGCCCAAAGAGGAGGAGGACGAAGGAGCGGGCGTGGGAAGGCCGAGGAAGGAGAGAGAGAGAGAGCGTCTCTAATACCTGCCGGCTAATTGACGGTTTCGTGAGTCTGGGGCCCCTTTTTACATGCACACACGGATACATATATATTATATATACAACCTGTAGGTGAGCAACTGTATATGTATGTATAGACGCAGAGCCGGCGATGATTGCGCCGATTATAAGGGGGGGTTACGCGCGGTTCCCGAATCCTACCTCCTTCTCTCTCTTGGTCCGTACACCAGCTATTTAGGAGGTTTTAGCGACTCCCCTTCCTCCTCCTCTTCCTGCTGTTGTGCAGTATACATATATAGATTCCAACATCGCGCCCGGGGGTCGAACCAAACTTTCGTTGTTCTTTACGCCTTTTTTTTTTTTTTTTTATCTGGTGTACACACACGCCCAGCCTAGAGATCGTAGGTATAATTCCTTTTTTTTCTCCCTCTCTCTCTCTATCGATGGAGCGACAACCGAGTTCGGGGCCCCTGTAATTATAGATTTATCTGTTGATTTGATTTTTCGTACTACACTGTATACCTATGTATATGCGGAGAGATGGTTAACTACGTATACCAGCTGCTCCTTTTTTTTTCGTTCAACCGTGTAACGTCAAGGGATATGTTGTATACACTTTTAATCGAGCAATTCGTTTCTATTTCGGGTGTATCGAACAAAGCTGAAAAATATCCAATTACAGCGTCCTACGTGTATATTTGCGCGTATGAGTATACATCGGCCGTTAGGTAAAGAGAAAACGGAGCTCGCATTCATTTTGTGGAGTTAAGCGGCGGGCGTTCATTAAGATTCACAAGCGTCGGCGAGTAACCCGCTCTCGAGCGAAAAGGATATACAAAAGCCACAGAGAGAGAGAGAGAGAGAGGACACGTATACGTTCAAAGGGCCTCAAAGAGCTGATGCAGCCATGGGTGCCTAGTCCCAAAACAAAAAAACCGCCTGTCTTTTAAAAACCCGTCCTTCTCCTCCTCCCAACGGGGGCAAGGGCACACGGCTATATATATATATATGTGTATGTTCCCTCGGGAGTCGGTAGGTATACAGGTACACACGAAACGTGTATCATAACGCGCGAAGTCAATATACGGTATAGGTATAGAGGGTTGAGATAAGTCGAAGGCTCCGCCGGGATGTCCCATAAATCAAGCGCTCCTCCTACGCGCCGCCTTACCGCCGCATAGTAGTAAAGGTAACAGCAGCAACCCGGGAGACTTTTGATGCTTGTGTTCTTTTGTGTTTATTTTGCCGAGGGAAGGGAAAAAAAAAAAAAAAAGGGATGAAGGATCGGTATGGACTGCGGGGAAAGAAAAGCGAGAGAGCCCCTATATGTGCGCGCACGCGTCCCGGATCAAAACAGATGTGCGCTCTTCTTCTTCCCTTTGTTTTTTTCCCCCAAAGAGATGGGTTAACGTCACATTTTTACCTACATGTAGACAGGCAAATTTGGTTTCCCACCGTCGAGGAGAGGGAAAGGTTGTTGTCGCTGTGGATTAGCCGAGTGCGTGACGTTTTTCCGATGGCGAGAAACAAAAAGCAAAAAAAAAAAAAAAGCAAAATTTGAAAAGCGCGTAGCAGCGCTTTGGGGGAAAAAATTTAAAACAGCAGCGACGAGCCGCATGAATAAATCCCGCTCGAGGATGGCGATGGGACGCGCGCGACCAAACTCGGGGAATTCCCGGTCGCTCGTAAAGAATAAACGCGCGCAATTTTCCCGAGCGCCCGTGGAAAAAAGGGAAAACAACAACAAGCCCCTCCTACGGCTCTCCCAGCAACAAGCCACCGCGAACTCTCTGTGTCGGGGAGGATGAGGGCCGGGAGAAGTTGGCCGAGGAATAAAATTTTCAAATTTATTCCAATAAACGCACGCCAGGGCGTGTAAAGCGGCCTACACCCCACCACCCCCCTCGCGCTTTCAAGTTTTTTCCTTACGCCCGTGGCAAATAGTGTGTGTACGCGATCTCGGTTGTTACAAATTGAAATTTTATTCAGCCACGCTTCGAGAGCCCCGTAAAATCTTCCCTCGATGTACATATACGTTTTTTCTTTTTCTCTTCAAGCAGGTTCGAGTGCTTCGCGTCGTCGTTTGCTTCCTTTTTTTTCTCTCCGTTACTTCGCGCGAATTGATTTTTCAGAGGCCGAACCTGCTGCGACCGGTGTAAAAGTACACACGAGCTGCTAGCCGTTATTACGTACGCGAGAAGTTGTCGGTCAGGGGGGGGAAGGGAAATTTACAGTCTTCCTCTCCGGACTGGGAATAGTTCGTTAGGAGCGCGCGTAAAACGCGTAAGGGCCGTACCCCTCAAGTGTGTACCCTTTCTTTTTTGTCGGCAAGAATGTTATTTATCATCGATCGCCATAAACACGTGTACCATCTAAAAATTTCCACGTATCCGTACACTTTCCGCTCCATCATTGAGATGTAGGTTTCATCATGAGCTCCTCCAACCCCACGTCAACCTGCTTCCTCCATCATTGGCTCGGAGTATTTTAAGAGGGGAGAAAAAAAAATTAAACCGTTGCGTGTGCGCATAAACAAAAGAAAGACCCGAAAAGCAAAGCACTAAATCGTTCGAGGCGGCACGACTCCCTTCGAAAATCGACGATAAGATAAGGTGTCCGGGCTCCTCGACAAATATTTACGAGCTGGTCTCCCGCGTCTGCAGTGTATTTATTATAACAGCGGCCCGCAGGAGTCGGTATGCTGGACGCAGAAGAAGAAGAAAAAAGAGAGTTTACTTGATTTTACTTTCCCGAGGAGGGGAACGAAAACAAAAAAAAAAAAAAAAAAGAAAAAAAGAATGACCCGAAAGAGGCACCCACGCGGGAGAGATAAGATAACGCGTCTTTAGCGTGTTGCGTGTGTTTCCATGTTTTTTCGGAGCTCTACTGCCAGACGAGGGGAAGAACAAGTGGGACGGCAGGATTGCGAGCCCTTTGTTTTTCCTTCGACTTTTCCGGCTCGTGTTTGTAAATCGCATTACCACGTCTTCTTCGAGGGGATGCGATAAGTGCTTATGGAATTTTTGCATTTCGCTGCTAATAGTCTTTGGTCGAACGGTAAACAAGATTGTGAAAAAATTCTCGTACAGGGAAAAGATTGTTTTTGTGCGCGTCAGCCAGCTTTACAATAAATCAAGCTCTAGTACACGCGCTGGCGTAGATCGTACTGTGCTCACTGTGACCCGTTTCAATGTCAACATATTATGAGAGGGGAAAAAAAAGAGTGGGTATACCCTAATCTCGAGATAAAGCGATAAAAACTCCCACTCGCGTGTCCATCAAACTTCCACGGTCTCATCAAGTGGGCACACTGGGGTAATATTATAATGGTTACCCAAACAAAAAATAATCGGCCTGTGTCAAAGAAAATCACACCGGATGTTTAAAACCGATAACGATCGGGCCAAAAAACCCGTTCACGTGAGCGGCCGTTGTATGCACTCGAGTGTACCCTCGTCAGAGCGTGTCCTGCACGAGGTATATTATCTAATAACCCCTAGAAAGAAAAATGTGCGATCTATATCCGTTGCGTTAACCAGCGGGGCTAATTTGGTCCCGGAGCCAATGTCGTTTGTTGGGACAGTCAATTCGAAAGGTACAGGAAAACAGTATTTAAGAGAGATCTGTTGTCTTTTCTTTCTTTTTTTTTTTTTTTTTTTTTTTTCGTGTCTGTCTCTGACGTTGGAAACACCGACGCGTCGAGGGAAAACGAGACGCGAGCGATTTTCGCTGCGGGAATCCAGGGATCCGCCTTTTGGGGGCGATTACTCAATCGTGGGAAAAGACTCTCGAGCTTGTAGGTGTAATTTACGCGTTTTTACCTCGCATCAATTAACCATCGCATCATCATTCCTCACAATTTGACTCGGCGTCACTCGTTTCCACCCACACTTCTTATATACATATATATATAT